TGCAGATGCCTGGGCCCCAAGACTGACCTACTGAATCAGATCCTCTGGAGAATATAGTCCTACAGACACTTTTTTTAAAAAAAAAGCTGCTAAAGGGATTCTGTTAAGAACCACTGCGGTGACTGCTTACTTTCTAACAAAGCAGCGCATCTGAAATGGAATGATCTCTTAATTGTTATTTTAGTATTTTTAAAAAGGATGTTTTAATACTATTGAAAGTGCTAAATTCTATGTCTCTCAATTGCAATGGGGATATAGGTCTTATTTCTGAAAGGAACTTCTTTCCCACCATCTCTTGCCATTTTTCTCTTTCAGTCTAAGCCCCTCCAGGTCCTCTGTGTGAATGTTCTTCACCTGCTTTCACCGTCTTCTTCATCCATCTCCAAACTCTCTGCCAATAGAACATCACCGCCCTTGTTTCCATCATTACACCTGGTCCTCCACTTTTCATCTTTTCAGCTGACCTTGTCCCTGACTGCTCCTTCTCTGGGTTTATGCTGCTCCTTACTCTTCTTTCTTTTTCATCTTGACTTTGACCTGTTACCACAGTTCTAAACTTACCTCCCCTGAATTCTCTCCAGGCTGTCGCGAGAATTTCTCTTGGGCCCACTGCACTTTTGCCAGAGGAAACACTTTTAGTTTTAGATCCCTTTTCTTCTGGGCACCTTATATTTTAAACAAGCTGCTGAGAAATGCCATCAGAATGAATAATTTTTAATGCATTATTGAAGAGGGAAAAATAACTTTTAGCACAATGAAAGTTCTTTCCATGCCATTGACAAATAACACAATTGAAGCAGTGGTTAAAATGGCTGTCATAAACAGAAGCAGAGATATTACCTATATACTTAATGAAAGGCCAAAGTTTCTTTGCCTGTAAATTCAAGAAATCTGTTATCCATTAAAAAAGAAATAACCAAACAAAATCTACAAATGCCCTTTATTTCATCATCATAATAGTGATTCTCATTCCTTTCCTGCAGCAGCATGCACTCAAATATGTTATTCATGAAAATTAGGGCTGTCTCTTAAAAAATTCTATTCAGCTCTGCTAGTTATAATGAATTGGTGTTTGTCAAATGGTTTTTATGCTTAGATGAAAAGGTAATGATAAACAACCATTGGAACTGCTAGATGCACTATCCGGGTGCTTGATTTCATGACATGCCTCTTTGGCAAATCAGGGCCCCTGGAGTACTCCGTGTGGATATGAAAATGAGCACATTATTTCACTGTTAACATGCACTGCTGAGATGAAAGAGAAGGCGTGTGGGCCTACTGATGTTTTTATTTTCCTTCCTGGAAGGATTAACTGAATGAGAAACAGGTAGGCAGGGTGTTCTAAAGCCAAAGTTTGAGCATGGAGTTTTACAACTTAATACTTCCAATGCAGGCAAAGTCTGTGAGAAGTGCTATACTGCTAACTCCCAGTTCATGTGAGACGCTGTCATGCCTGGTCTTCATTTTAGTAATGGGGAAACGGGGGCTCATAGATGTGAATACTAAAGAAACAAACAGGAAAAAGGATTTCTTAGTCAAGCAAAGAAAGCATGGTGGATACTGGCCACTGAGAGCTCAAGCATTTGACAACGCATCTCGTTGGCAAAATAGGCATTATCATCACCCCGTTTTCCAGATAAAGGAAATGAGGCTGTGAAGTAACTTGCTCAAGGTCATGGAGCTTTTAAATCACGGAGTCCGGACTTGCACTGAGTCTGTCTGATGACTACCTCTGTGCTTCAATCTGACCCCAGATGGCACAGAATGCTTTGGATAGTGCTATTGCCTGTGCCACACTTACTGTTCAAGCAGTCGGCAACTGCAATTTTGATCAAGGAAAAGCTTAGAACAGCTGTTTATTCACCCTTCTCCAATGCTCCTACATGTTGCAGCTGACCTAGACCCCTGGTAGAAGATGAGTTTTGTATCAACATGTCAAGGCTCTCTAAAAGTCAGCTCTTGGCCATCACCTCCATCTATAATGTATCAGCTTATCATTCTAAATTTAAAAACCCAGAGGAGGAAGGCAGAATAACTTGTCTCTTGATTCACCAGGAAACTTGAAAGTTTGCCCTATGGTTTGGTTTATTTATTTATTTATTTATTTATTTATTTATTTATTTATTTGAGGAAGATTAGCCCTGAGCTAACATCTGCCATCAATCCTCCTCTTTTTGCTGAGGAAGACTGGCCCTGAGCCAACATCCATGCCCATCTTCGTCGGCTTGACAAGCAGCATATAGGTCTGCACCAGGGATCCAAACTGGTGAACCCCAAGCCACTGAAGAAAAACACGCAAACTTATCGGCTACACCACCAGGCCAGCCCCTATTTGCTTTTTTTTAGTTCTCAAACTACAGAACTCTTTGAGAAGATTATTTAAAATGCAGATCCCAGACTCCATCCTGAGTGATTCTGATTCACTAGGTCTAGAATGGAGTCTAGGAATCTGCATTTTTGAAGCTCTAAAAATATAATGGTTCCCTGATCACTATCCTCCACTCTCTTCCTGGAAGGAAGTATCTAACCACTTTAGATCTTTTAATACTTTCATCTGGCATTTACACATCTCCATAGTTCTCCAGTGCTACCAAGATAAGTTACAAAGTGTCAGAGACCTTCTAAACCACATCTCAGCTCGGCTCTGGTATTTCAATTAGATAGCAAACACATATTTAATAATTTATTAGAGGAAAAAAATAACATTTATTACGTCCCTACTCTGTGCAAGGTCTTTATACACTTCACCTCATTGAATACTTACTACCATCCTGAAGTAGGTACTTCACAGCTTTATAAGGCCTAGTAGAGGTCGAATTCAAATTCAATTTTTACTGCAAATCCAGCACTCGTTTCAGTAAGGCACAGTGCAGAACTCTGTGGTAGAATCCCCGACCTCAGAGAGCTTCATGTTTGGGAAAAAAGGGTAGAAAATAGGGAAAAGTCTTAGGAGGAACTCAGTAAGTGTCATTCATCCTACATGTGTTTGTTGCGCATTTACTCTAATCCTGGTTTTTACTACATTTACTCTAATCTCAGTGCCTAGCACTGGGGATACCATATGAATGTCCTTCTGCTCCATCTCCCCCAACCTCGTGGCTCCAGAGAAGGCAGAATGAGAGAATGCGAGTGCAGACATTGAGGAATTGCTAAGGCAAGACCTGGGCCTCCAAACTGAGGACCAGGCAGTCTTCCAATTGAAACAAGAAACCTCATACCATGCTATCCAATTGGGAAAGTTCCCAGGTACGTGCTGGTAGATAGTTAAGCAATCAAAGACTGCCAATTGTACTTGAAGGGCAATCTGAAAGCCTCTCCCACTCCACTTCCAAAAATCCTGTCCTAATAGAAAAATTTCATCCTAATAGAACACTCATTAATTAAAGACTGTCTTAAGAGTCTCTCCCTTCTCTTTATAAAATACACTCTCCTTTCAAACCTCTTCTAGCCTCTGCCAGAGGGAAAGTCATAATAGCTGACTCCCTTACCAGAGGAATGTCTGAATAAACAGCTTTTGACTAATTCTACAGGTGGTCTGTTTCCTTCTGACAACATATTCATAGCTCTCACCAAGTTTAAACATTCAGTCTACAAACATTAATAAGAGTCTTTGCTCCATCCCAGCTAGATAGCAGACCCAGCCAGAGGAATGATGGATGAGATGGGAACTCAGATCCACTCATGGCAAGAGGAAGGTGTGGAGTAGAGTGGTTAGATTTCACGTTTGGGGTCTGATCCCAAACTGTGTAACCCTGGGCAAGTTCCCTAACCTCTCTGTGGCCCAGTTTTCTCTCTGGCAAAATGGAAATAACAGTAGGAGCCCCTTGCAGGGTTCCTGTGTGTATTAAACGACCGGGGTCCAGAGCAGCACAGTGTATGTAATAGGAAAGAGCATAGGTTTGACAGTGAATAAAAAGGAATCCATGAGTCCATATGGATACCAGTGAATACGTACAAGAATAAACAGAGATACGAGGGAGAAGGTAAAGCTCTTCTCAGAGGAGAATGCAAGCTAAAAAATGGAGAAAAGGTTAGAATCAGACAATCATGATTTTGCAACCTTCATAATAATAACTGATTCAAGCAATAATCATCAACAGATGCTAAATCAAGCAGGTCAAATTGTGATGAGGAATGGGCTGTAAATCTATGTATCTTTATCTATCTATCAAGAATGGGAAATGGGGCAAAATGTAAGTGGGGAATCTGGGTAAAGGATATTTGGGCATTTTGGGGTAATATTCCTGCAACTTTTCTGTAAATTTGATTTGTCAAAATAAAATTTTTAAAAAAAGAGGGAGAGAAGGAAGGAAATAGCAGTAGTTGCTTAGTTCTGTTACACTGTACCTTTTCTCATGATCATAGGATCAAGAATAAGTAAGGATAAAAAATTCTAAAATAGTGCTTAATGGGGTGGGGAGAGGAGAGCACATGGATTTGAATCTTATTTCCACTCCTTATCAAGTTACTTACTCTGTGCCTCAGTTTCCTCTTCTGCAAAATGAGGATTTTACACTTGCACATGGTGGAAAGGCTGCTATGAAGACTAAATGACTTCACATCTGCAAAGTGCTTGGCACATATTAAGCAGATTTGCTATTGTCATTGTTATTCCATGTACAGTGCTTAGAGTCATGTAAATTCCAAATAAATGTCTGCTCTTACGGTGATTGCTGGGCTTAAAATCCTTCAGTAGCTTTGCATGCATCTTCGGTTAAGGATAAAGCAATCTTACTAAGGTGTAGAGGGTCTCCTCCGACCTCACCAGACCCTCTTCCTCCCCCTTACTCCTTCAAGTCTCAGCTCAAACATCGCTTCCCTGCACGGGCCCCTGGGACCCGGGGATAGACAGAGGTCTCTGGTAGATGGCGTCAGCTCTGGGCCGGTCCTTCTAGCACTCACTGCAATGACTGATACTTGCTTGTCTGTCTGTCTTCCCCGCTACAGCTGAAGCCCCACGATCCCGGGGCTTGGGACCTGTTTTGGCTCCCGTGGTAACGCAGGGTGGCACAGCGGCGGGGCCAGCAGGCCTCTGAGCGCTCCAGGGAACCCTGGGGTCGGGGCGGGGACAGGCAGCAGCGACAGCGCCCCAGAGCCGAGCCTGCAGGCGCTCGCGCCGCGCCTGCAGCCGCGTCCCCCGGGCCAGGCGGGACGAGCACAGGGGGACGGCCCGGGGGGCCGGCCGGGCCCGCCTCCTCTCCGCCCCTCGCTCTCCTGCCCCTGCCCGCGCTCGGTCCGGCTGCCCCGCCCGGTTTCCTGGTTAAGATGGCGTCCCCCGTGGCTGCGCAGGCCGGCAAACTTCTGCGACACCTGGCTCTCCGGCCCCGGCTGCTGGCGGCCAGGTCCCAGGTGAGCGAGGCGCGTGGCAGAGCTGCGGGAAGGGCGCGCGCGGGGCGCCCGCCGGCCTGGCCTCCTGGCTCCTCCCGGCCCCTCCTGGCCCCGCGCGCGGCCGCCCGGGCGCCCCAGCTCCGCGGTGCCTCGCCGTGCTGCGCCCGGGGCGCACTAGGGACCCCCGCATCCTGCGGGGGTGTAAGCCCCGGGGGGACGACAGCCTCCGCTGCCCCTCGGGAGGCGCTGACGTCGGACTCCTCTGCTCACGCGGAAGGCGCCTGGCACTGTCCCAGGCGCTGCGTGCAAGTTCAGGCAAAGTTCCTGGGCCGCGTTTTGGAGTCCTGAGGTTTTATTATCTGCTTTGCCAGCTCTGCTTTTGAAACGTCTCTATCCCCGGCGCATTTGTTAGGCCACCAGAGGAACCTGCCTAGAAACCCATCCCAGAGTCGCTGGTGTTGGTAATTCAGCCGCCTGGGGCGAACTTTTCTGCCGGCTGCCTGCTCCTGCAGACTTCCGGGGCGCCTGACTTGGTGAAATGCGAAGGTCAACGATAGGAGTGGGAAGCCCTCTCCTTTCTTTCAATGAAAAATCAATCCGTCGCTAAAACGCATCAGACCATTGCCCCTGTCCACTTTCTCCTTGTTTATGGAGAATAAAGACCCAAGAGGGCCAGTGGTGGATGCTGAATGCTATTCGAACTTGGCCCCCAGTAGATTTAACGTTCTGCATATGCCAAGGGTCGCAGTCATCAGAAGGCCTTTGGGGAGTTGAGTGGATGATAACTGTTGGAGAAATCACTCAACCACTCAACTTCTTATTCTCCACACATATTCTCTCTCCCCTTTTAAAGAAAGGACAGTGTGGGGTCACCTGCAGCAAAGCAATGTCCTTGTCCATTTTCCCCATTTTTAATTGATGAGAGGCAAATGATCACGCATGCCCTTGACGGTATGCATAGTATAGTTTTTAAGAAAATTTATAAGATAGCTACGAATGGTTTTTTGAGTTACTCTAAGCTTTGGTTAATTATGACATCTGCAAGGTCTTTTTTTTTTTTATCCTTTGATTTCCTGGCTTCTCACTTCTCTGTTTTTGTTAATGTAAATTTAAAAGGTGCTAATACTTATTACTGTAATATCCTTAATAGGCAGTTGACAGTAGGGTGGGATAGCAAAAGGAATGGCGGCTTTGTCTAATTAAAATAACTAATAACTGTCGTAATAAAGTAAGGTGAACACCTCCAGGTGATCAAGTCCTATTCATTATTTAGGTGTTACACAAAGCAAGAGCTGTGGTGCTAACTGTAAATGTAGACTTGAATTGATGAGAAACATGGGGCCCAGAGCAGTGAGAACTCTAGCAAAGGAAGTAATTGTGCAGAGAAGCCCAAGTGTTTAGCTGAAGTATGATAAGGCTTCTTGCCTAACCAAGAAATGGGAGCCTGAACACAAGATTGGAGAATCTGGTTGGGGATAGATGCCCTTGGTTTGGCAAGAAGACTGGGTAAAAGGATGTTACCTCGCTCCATCTGGTAACTTTGACTTACATACTTGTGGATGATGTGTTATCCTGTAAACACAAGGCTTAGAAGATGAGAATATTTTTTAAAAGTTGGGAATAGTATACAGTGTCCAAGAACTGGAAATGGGCATTAGCCAACATCTAGTCCAACCGCCTCATTTCACAGGTAGAGAAATTGAGGCCTAAAGAATTTCAATGCCTTGGTCAAGGTCATAGAGTTTGTGTAGACCTGATTCCAGTTACTTTTAAATTTCTATTACATCAGGCTATTGCTCACTGTTTCCTCATGAAAATACATTATGTCAGCATGTAAGTTAGTCTGTATACTAGTATTAATTATGTAACATCCAAGTCTCTTAGCGTTACTGACACTTTGTAATTTTTTCTTTATAAACATCTTACAATTGGCAGTAAAAATAGGTGTGTATTGCTGGTGTCTTGTAAGGAACTGTATTTTCAGGTTCTGGGGTGCTTCTTAGTTATCTGCTCCAGCTAAGTAGGCTTTGATCTTGTGCCTACCTAGCCACTTGCCCATGGCAGACATTACAGTTGAACATGACCCTCTTTTTCCACCAGACTTGAGAATACTCACCAAGCATCTCAGAAATCTGTTGCCCCTCTTGGCCCAGACCTACTTTGACCCAGGCCTGGTGCAAAACTGTTGGCTGTACAGAGACAAAAGACCCAGTTTCTGCTTTGAGAAGTCTCTTTAACCACTCTCACAAAGATAGATAGAGTGACACTTTGTTTTCGTCCTCTCCGTGGTTAAATGTAACATTTGACATATATTCCTAACGCTTAATGTCATTGAAGTTTTCTATTTTCTCTGCTCTTAGTTTGACTATTTTGACTTTTGATTGGGGTTGTATCCTTAAAGGGTTCCATTTATCCATTTCTTATTTTACATGTATTTTCTATTCAGCCCCTACTGTCTCGCAGGACTGTTCCAGGCGCTAAGATTTGGGGTTGGTGAACAAGGCAGGCAGAATCCTTGGCCATATGGTAGTTTATTGTAGTGAGGGTGGGAGAGGGCTGGATTGTACATGTATAAACAATGATGAAGATGATTTCAGCCAGTGACAAATGCTATGAAGAAAATAAAAAAAAAGAGTCATGCAACAGAGAATGAATAGGTCAGCCAGGAGGGTGGGTATAGATTAAATGACCAAGGAAAGCCAATTTGACAAGGTACTTTTTTTGTTCTGGTCTAATTTTTTATTGCAATATAACCACGTACTAAAAAGGTACATATTATAAGTGAACAGCTTGATGAATTTTCACAAACTGAGCATGCCCAGGTAACCAGATCCAGAAACTAATCATTTAGTCGTAACTCAGAGGGCCCCTGGGTGCTCCTTCCTGTCACTACCTTCACCTGGAAAAGGGTAACAAGTCCCCTGACTTATACCGGCATACACTGGTTTTGTTCTTTTTTGTACTTTATGTAAGTGGAGTTATACAATATGCACTCACATACTGAACATTATGTTTATGAGATCCTGGAGGTGACTTTTTTGACATTTGAGCTGAGACCGGAGTAATGAAAAGTAGCCAGCCAGTTGAGACTCTGGGAAGAGCAGACAACAAGTTCAAAGGCCCTGAGGTGGGAATGAGCTCAGCATGTCCAGGCAGTTAAAGATGGGGAAAGTGGTAGCCGAGGTCCCAGGGGTAGGCAGGGGCCAGATCACGTGGGAACTTTCAGGGTCTGAGAAGGAGTTTTTAAGAGCTTAGAGTGGTTAAGTGACTTGCCCAAGGTTATTCAGATAGAAAAAAACAGCTAGGTCTGAGTCCCAGTCCTGGCTGCCGAAGACCAGACATTTATTTACTGTACCGTGCACTCTCTTTTATAAATCTAGGCTGGCTTTGAAACTTTAAGAGGGAATGTTGTTCAGTAAATTCAGCACTCCGGTAAAGGCCTAACCATTGTTAGATGACTTTTCACAGACCCAGATCCTGGCTGACAGGGACCAGGTTGCCATGTCCAAATAGTCAGCCACGAGAACAGGTACATGGCAGTGTAATACAGCAGGTCACAGCCACAGTGAGCACAGAGATGAGCCCATCCTATCTGACATGTCTTAGGGAAAATCTTGGCTGAGGGCATTGAGTTTAAATGCTTAATAGCAATTCCGTGCATGGGATTGTCGCCTTTTAGGACATTTCCCCTCTCATAATGGCTGGGTGATGTTCATGGAGCTGTCCTGTTTAGAGAAGCATAGACATTGTGGGAAACTGCCTCTCAGGCCCCCAGCTTTAGAATCCTTGTTGTGTGGTTCTCCAGGAAGCCCAGAGCTTCTGTCCATGCACTTGGAGAGGAATGTGTATTGTCGAAGGAAACTGCCTAAACCTATGCCCTGCTGTCGTACACTTCCAAACAGATGGCTCCAGCTTAATTTTCTGCTCTTTCTGGAAGTGGGAGGAGAAAGATGGATGCGGGGCTCTTAGAAGTGAAGGACTAAAGGTTATGTGAAAGTTCTTATCAGCTCACTGAGGCTGTGGAGGCCGCGCTGAAAATTGTCCTTACCGATAGCTGCCTTCTTGCCTAGAAGAATAAATACCTGATTTTTTTTTAATGAAGTACAGCTGAATTTCTGCTATTAGAAAAGGAAATTCATCTCCAATAATTTAGATGCTAAACGATTGACCTTCTGTGTGGGGAAGACCTTTAAGTGACGGCTCCTATGCCACAGTGGTTTTGTTTACTGTAAGTGAAACATTTCTTTTATGGGTGAGTGATGGATGGCCCAGACCCACAGTGGGGAGAACTTTGCTGCCCTTGTACCCTGGCCCGATTCTGCAGGCACAACGTCCAGGAAGTCGCTGAAATATCTCGTATTTTGGAGAGAAAAGAAATTATATAAGTTACCTTGGCTCATTCGTCCTTCAACTCTCTTTCCTGCTCAATCTGGAATTGTCACTTGATACATTGCTTTCTGTTACTTGATGGAAACATTTTGCCTGAAGAACTTGAGAGATTTGTACATGTTTGAGCAAATGATAAAATCAATATACTAATGAAATTTTGGGAAATAGCACCGGGAGTTAGTCTGGTGAAGAAGGTAGAGGCGGGGAGGGTTTCCCAGGTGGAGTGGAGGGCGAGCAAAGGCAGAGGAGAGAGAGAACATGGGGAGGTTAGAGGAGTCGTTTGAACAGTGGCGTGGAGAAGGGAGAGGCAGGTGAGTCGCAGGAGGAGTTGGGGAATGACGGTGAGCTTTTAGGCAATGAGGAAGGAAGCACAGGGCTGTAGGCAGTCCCAAGCCCAGAAGCCGGCATGGCCTAGAACTACATAACTAAAAGTCAAGCAGGTATTGTTCATGTAGGAAATAATTTCTGAGCACCTGGTCTGTGCCCAATGCTATTCACTGTAAGCTCCCCGAAGGCAGAGACTATATTTAGTTCTTGACTGTAAGCCCAGTGCTTAAGAGAATGCTCAGTGCTGGGCATACGGATGCACTTAATAAATGAGTCTTGTATGACTGAGTGAATGCAGAAAGAAG